AGAAGCCACGGTATACCGTCGTAGCATACCTACAGTACAATCAAGACTCAATTAGAAAAATATGTAGAAAATGATTACATTCAAGAAGACAGTACTAGCACAAAAGGGTATTCTAGTTAATTTGGTAACTAATATAGCAGTATTAAACCTTAGAGAAGCATTTTTAATAGAAAAGTTGAGGGGATGAAGGGCTGATCTGTAGATGTATAGTTTTATTTTTTAACGACCGTGATCGTTTTGGTTCGGGGTCATAAGGTGCAAATACTTTTTAATCCAAGAGGCACAGATCCGTGCCCTTGTGCTGCAGCAGAGTCAAACTCTGAATTAAAATGTTATCCTGTTAGATAATTCCAATGAATTGCACCAACATCGTTACCTGAAGAGTCAAATAGTTCAGAAAAATGCAGTGCAACTGGAAGCTATGAAGCTCATTTTTTCTTTAACATCCTCCTAAAGGGTTTTCCTTCGGATATACCTTTCCGTTTCTTTGGCAAATGTCAATCAACTCACTTACTGTAAGGAGGTATATTCATTTAAAAAGGTAGGGTGTTGGATAGGGAGGCACAGGGGTGGGTATCCTGAAAGCAGTCGTTTTTCTCTACTCTGCTTGGAGGATCAGACGTTTCTTATATACCTGAAAATATATATTTATCTATACTGTTTATAATCAAATGAATTTAGCGTACTGGGCCCTCTGCTCTATGTTAAACCCAAACTTTCATTGAAATCTGTAGCAGTACAGTATAATTGGCAGACAAATATTTAAATCTAAGAAAATCTGAGAAAACCCAGTTAAATAAAAACCTCTGGACTATCAGGACTAACTATGACGGAGTATTAGGGCCACGCTAGAGATTTTTATTTTATAGGAGAATAAAGTCACAAATTTCTGAGACTAAAATTGGAAAATTACGAGTGAAGTCATCATAACAGAACCCGTTTCAGAAAGAAAGCATATATATATATATATATATATATATAATGATCAGAGCATGCTGATCATCAGGAAAGCTTTGAGCATGCTCTGACAATCATATTATATATATATATATATATATATATATATGATCAGTGCATGTTAAAAATTTTTCTTTCAAACGGGGTTGTGGTATGATGACTTCACTCGTGCTAAAAGATATTTCCTTATAAGTGAAACCGATGCCAAAGTATAACTTGACATTTCTCATTTTAGGGAAGTTCTTCTTTTAAGAGTTGTTATTAAATACATTTTCGGAATTTTGTGATTTTCTCATAAGTTTCTGATTTTAATCTCATAATATTACGACTTTGTAATGTTACATTATTTTTTTATTTTTTGAAATAAATCTCTAGCCCTAGTACTCCGTCATAAACATATTGTTTTTAGACTGCGTCATCTGTCGGAACAGTACGGGTACATCCATGGTTTTTACTAGTTTAAAAAAACAGCAAAAATACTACAAAAATACACCTATATTTCAAAACAAAGAAAAAAAAATACATTAGTCATGGAAATGACTAAATAATGGTATTTAGTATGTGGTCATGGAAGTATTGGTCTAGAAGCAGAAAAAAGGAGCTCCAGGGGAAGAAGGAGGGTTATGGTTCAGTCTGATTTCTGTCTGTCGGTCTCAAGGTACCCTTTTTTGAGATGATTTTGTTTCTTTATATGAACCAGATTCATAGCTTTAGCAGGATTCCACTCAATTTGAAGCGAAACGATCCAACAGTTTAGGGGTTTACAGCAGTGTTATAAGCACGGTGCTTTCCTGAACAGCAGCCAACCTTCGCCTCATAGTAACGAAGTTATTCTAACACTGACTGCATCTGTGTCAGAGTACAGAAGACAGAGTTAGACTAAAATGCTTAATAAAGACTAAAAAAACCAAGACAGTGGAAGATAAAACAAATACTCATAACAATAACCCTATCAGGACCATTAAAGCTATCGCTTATAGTTCACTGCTAAATGTATTATTTAATATGGGGAACGACGGACAGCCAAATAATCATTTTATGTTTTTAATCATGATAGAAAAATGCAGTAAATAAGGTAATTAAATTACTACTTATTATTTCTTAATAAATATCTGCTAAAGAAAATGTTTTATTTCGAAAGGCTCGTTTTCTTTCTACTTTAAGATTCTAAAGCACATACTGCTGTCTTTATTTTGAACCCCAGTGGGCCTCAGCAGATGGCCGCTCACACTGAGCCTGGTTCTGCTGGAGGTTTCTTCCTGTTAAAAGGGAGTTTTTCCTCTCCACTGTCGCTTAAAGCAAGTGTAAGGGATTGTTGAAGAGTCAATGAGTCGATGCAATCAACTGGTTTTCCTTAGAAAGATTTAAATCAATCTGACTGGATGATCTGATGAACTGG